TCTCCAGGAAGCCACTGTGAGGATGCAGCAGGAACGAGCCAAAGGTCAGGTGATGTCAGAAAACACAGCAGGTTCACTGACAAACAAAAACACCACAGCCAGCTGAGCGATGACTGCACACAGTTTAGCTGCCCTGCTCATGCTTTAGTTGAAGCTGACTGAAAGGTCTGAGATGTCACCAAAAGTTAAAGGAGTTCAAAGCCACACCACCACCCCTCCCCTTTTGCAGCAAAAGCAATGTTCCACAGCTTCATTGCCATGTACAGCCTTTTCCTTGCATTCATCAACAAGGACAGCCCAGCCCAAACCCACTGTGACCAGGTAGCATGATTCGTCACTTCCAAGAATCACTACCTGGACGCAAAGAGGCAGGAAAGTCTGGATCAAGTGTCAAAATTAGTAAGTGCCCAAAACAGTCCTAACAGTGCTTCAACTAAAGCACAGGGCTGCAGAAGGGAGAGGGGACTGAAGGATTCTGCTGTTGCAAAACCGAGTACAAAACAAAACAAAAAAAAAAAGGTACCCTGCTCCACTCTTGAGCAACTGCTCCAAAGACAGCACAAGGACAACCCACATCATCTCATCTAGGCAAAAGGTGCTGTCTATTGCCCACCATTGGCAGCTACACTCTATTAACTTCCCATTGCAGCTGATACGAGGTCACTGTTCCTATAGACATGTGGTACAAATTGAGGCAATCACTGAAGCTCAGGAATTAACAGCTTTGAAAACCAAAGAATGAGAGCAGACACCCCACGTGACTCACAGCATGTTCTTACACTTTACCCTACCTTTCCTTACCTTCCTTTGGCCTGCATCAGAATTAGACCCAACCTCTGTGGAAAGGACCAATTATGCACACTCTGTAATCATTAACCAGTGATTTTTCAGTAACCCATCCCTCACCAGAGATAAACCAGCCAAAACTAACAAGGGATCCAGCTTTTAAGCAGGAGCTCTGCACCTTCAATCAAGCTATGAGTGCATCTTCCTAAATCAGAAATATCAGCATTTATTTGGTTTGCAGAATAAGCAGGTATGAAGATCGTACATTATTTGGAGCTGCACTTATCTAACACAGACTAAGCCACAGCAAGCTAAGAGAAAAACAGAGGAAGGTGCTAAGCAAAGAAATATCAGACTTGCTGGTAAATTCTGAGGAACTGCTAACCGGAGGAAATGAAACCTGCTCAACTGCCATCAATTCCCTCCAGCAGAGGTAACCAAAGACTCAGTTTATTTCCCTACCTCCACTGCTTATTAGTTCATAACTGGAGGCAATAAAGATGCTTTATCAAGAAGCCTACCTCAACTAGCTGAGACACCACAGTTATGTCAGCAGGCTCTGCACGTAGCTATTATGCCTTTACTCTCCCACCAACATCCCATAGTCACAGAAGTGTATAGAATCACAGAAAGGCTGAGGCTGAAAAGGACCACAGTGATCATCCAGTTTCAACCCCCCTGCTATGTGCTGCCCAGAGCCACATCCAACCTGGCTTTGAATGCCTCCAGGGATGGGGCATCCACAACCTCCTTGGGCAACCTGTTCCAGTGTGTCACCACCCTCTGAGCCACAGCTTCCAAGTGTCAGGCCGCACCATAAGATCTCCAGAGGCAGCAATCACAGGATTTATGTGCCTGTCTGCTTCCAAATTAAGCACCTTCACTCTATCAGTGTAACTGCTTGCTCTCCCAGCTTCTGAGGAACATGGGTGACTCCTGTCATCCTGTTACACAGGAAAAACAATACACAGAAACAACATGGCATTACTGACCCTAGCTAGAAGTGCCCAGAGCCCACACACACAGCCCTCCCCACTCAGAATTATCATGACTTTCATTGCTTTGGGAATTTAAAAAGAACACCATCAAGCTGAACTCATTACCTCCAGCTTGCTCAATCTGGGTGTAAGGAATTAGTGATGAGTGAGCAGGAACTCAACAAAACCACCTTAAGCAGGAGTCTTATTTTTCCTTCCCAAACACAGCACACATGACCACATATAAACAAGGATGAGCCAGGCAGGAAAGCAAGATTGCCTTGTGTACACAGGAGGCAGCAAGGAGTGGATGTCGGCGTCAGAATAGGCCGGAAGAGACCTCTAGGATCACTGAGCCCAACCAGCAGCCCATGCCTGCCGTGCCCACTGCCCACGTCCCTCAGTGCCACATCCACACGGTTACTGAACACCACCAGGGACGGTGATCCCACCACCCCTCCGGGCAGCCTGTGCCACTGCAGCGCCACTCCTCCCGCGAAGAAACGTTTCCTAACATCCAACCCGATTTACCTTAAAGAAGCCTCTTCAAAAGGTTTAAACTTGATATATCAAGTTGGCAGGAAGAGTCCAAGACCACACAGAAAACCCTCCTTCTCCACGAGGATCTCCCACAGATACGCCTCTCCAGACAGCTGAAAGCCCCGCCGTTCGATTTCACTTCGTTAGAGAATGCCCTGGCTCCTTCCCGAGGGCCCGGCCCGCGCCCCCCGCCCCGCCCCAACGCGGCAGACAAAGGAGCGGCGCGGCGAGGGCTGGAGGACGGCGCCGGCGGGCGGACTGAGCGCGGGCCGTGCCGACGGCAGAGGGGAGGCATCGCGGCACGGCACGGCAGCGGGCGCGGCGCACCCGGAAGAGCTGCAGCGAGGGATTAAGGGAAAAAAAGTAAAAGCAAGCAAACAAACAAACGACGGACCCGCTGAGGTGGGACACAACAGATAGAAGGGAGCGCCGCAGGGAGATAGCGGCGTTCAATACAGAACAGAAGCCACTTTAAACCCGTTCCCGCCCTAGCGCAACACGCAGGAAGGCAGCTCAGCCCTACTTACCGGGAGCAGCGCGGCTCTCCCTACGGTTCGCGCCCGCCTCTATTTCAAGGCCCCGGCTCCGCCCTCCGCATCGCGCGGGTGCGGGGTGGGGCTTGGGCTTCCCCGGCCGGTGGAGGAAACGGAGAGGGGGAGCGGCGGCGTGCGCGCCAAGCGGGGGGGTGAAGGCAGCGGTGCGGTGCTCGGGTAGAGAGCCGCCCCGCGGGGCTGTGCGGGGTTGCAGCCGGCGGCTTCCGCTCCTTCCTCCCGTCACGTGTCCGCTTGTGTCCGTGTACGGCACATCCAGCGTTACAGCTTGTGGAGTTTAATATCGTGTCGCTGTTGAAAGCGAAGCTTTCCATCCAGCGGTGTCAGTAACACGAAGCTGGAGCCTTCCTCCCTACTACCAATCATAGAATCATAGAATGGCCTGCGTTGCGGAGGACTACGACGATCTTCCAATTTCAACCCCCTTGCTGTGTGCAGGCTTGCCAACCAGAGCAGCCCAGAGCCACATCCAGCCTGGCTTGACTGCCTCCAGGGATGGGGCATCCACAACCTCCTTGGGCAACCTGTTCCAGTTCCGGGCAGATCCCGACATAGTTCTCCCCATGCTTCTCTTGGAACCCACAGTGTGTTTTATCGGTTTTACTGCATCAGCTGCCAATACTTTTCTTACCCTTTGGAACCCCAGGGGCTGGAAGGGGCCCGGCTCCCTGCCCTGTGCTGGCCTGGCTCTGAGCAAGATGGGCAGCGTGGGGTGTGATGCAGTTTGGAGGGAATGAAAGGCTGAGTGTGGCAGGGTCAGAAGTTCCTGGGGGGATACAGCAGCATTGGAAACTGAAAGCAACAGCTGTGCCACACCAGACTGATGATAGGATTTGCTTTGTTAGGGGGTCTTTTCTGGTGTTATTTCCTACCACACCTGGGTAATCTGCACAGGAAGTGTGGCTGCTCTCTCAGGGTCTTCAGGGTCAGTGTAGCTTTTTACTGAGGCAAGCAATACAGGAATGCTCTCTCTGTGGGACTCACCGTTCCATTCATTGTTTTTAAAGGGGAAGAATCTGTGGGTATCTAATTGATATCAGACACCCTGCAAGGGTGCTTGATGTGCACAGACTGAGAGGAATCCCCTGAGTCTACAGGGTAATTAAAAAGGCAGTTGAAGTGTCTCAAGGCTGACTTCCTTAAATATGATGGGGAGTCTCATGTGTCCTGGGGTCCAGTTGTCACTTGCTATATGGCCACTCTTTTGGCACCGAGACTAGCAGTAATTACGATCTTCTGACACCAGTGATCCCTTTCAGGTAGCTGCATTATTTTCGAAAGCAAGAGATAAAAAAAATGACATGAGAACTGTCAGGTTTGGTGTGTCCCCAGAGAACCAAGCTGCTGAAATGAAGCGCAGTATCTCACTCCTGCCACCCTTCCGCACAACCTGACACCCAGCCAAAGAGGAAAGCCCAAGGCCCAGCATCCCTTTCTGTGGCCATAGTAGGTCTGCTTTAAAACAATCACTTTACAAACACCAGAGTTTTTCCTTTGTTTTGATGATGGTTGAGCTGGCTGGCAAGTAAGATTCATCATTACGGTTTTCCCCAGCTGGGATTTCCCTCAACATCCTGTGTGTTCTCTGCCTCTCGAACAAATGGCACATCGAGTCTTATGATGTGCTTCACATACTTGATGACAGCAGTGCTGCTGACTGGATACAATTCCTCTGGGCTTCAAGTTCCTGAAGTTTACAGGACACAACACCAAGCACTTGAGCTGAACATTTGTCCTTTTCCAACAGGAGATGCTCAAACGTGACAGCTTTTTCTTGACACGTAAGTTGGTGAGGTTTAATGTCTGAATCCTTCCAGTCTGCTGACAGACACTGCTCTGGAGCTGCAGATAATATATCTTAGCTAACCTTCCTAAGCTGCCACACTGCAGATGAAATGCAGGCGTGCAGTAGTAGAGGCTTAAAACAATGTGGAAAGTCAATGGAGAGGTGCTGATGTCAGTCCTTGTTGTACTAAGCCCAACTGTGCCAGGGTTCATGCAAGTACTACATATGCTGAGGAAGTGAACTACAACTACAGAAACCAAATTCTAGTTCTTACCATCACCTTCACCCCTGTTTGGTGTTTATTGTCACAGAAGAAGCAATGTAAAATTGAAGAAAGGTGTATTATATATTGGGGCTGTATTAAGATCGATTTTGTTTTTATTTCAGACAATTCAGATGGACTCAAACATTTCAAGAATAACAAAAAAAAGCTGAAGTGGAGCCCTGGAACACTTGGCCTTTTATCTCAAGATCACCTTCCTTCAGCTCTTGGCTTCCTCATCAGCTGTGGGAGTGGATGCATGGAAACAAACGGTAATTCCACGAACAAAAAGAAAAAATAATTAATGACTTTATTTTTTTTTTCTTTTTTTTTCTTTTAGTTCAGTTGGCCATCTGAGGTGCTAAAATCTCAACACCAATGAAGCAAGTGTGCATAAAAACAAATGATAAAACAATCAAACAGAAAAGAGGCTGGAACAGTTTTGGTGTTTTTTGTTGTTGTTTAACAAGTTGGGTATATACGCTTTTCTGTTAACACTCCATACATGCCAACCATAAAAGCCTTGAACAATCTGAGTATCAGAGATCACTCTCATTCAAAAGGGAAGATGCCAAGGCACATCCCTTCACCTGGAACAGACTTCACACACACGCACGCATGCACACGCAGATACAGAGAATATTTAAGTTACTGCAATGCCATCAGAACTTGGCATCCTCCACACCTACTTTCAATGACATCCTCATCTGCCTGCCACCCTGTCTATAGCAGTATTGTGAGCAATCCAAAAGCGGAGGCATTTGGAAAGCTTCTAATCTCTGTTACTTTGCAACAGTCAAGAGCAGGCGATCTCTCTCCGCCAACTATGTACAAGCTGGTTATTAGTATGCTTTAGAGTTCTCTTTATTGCAGACAGTGATGATTTAAATTCCCATACAGCCAATGCTGTGGCTTTTCAGTTTGTACTCAGGAGATTTTATAATGCAACACCTTTCTAGTCCGCTGGCGCTTGGTGTAAACGTTTAATTGAAAACTCATTTTAAAAGAATGTTAACCAAACAAGGTGTAGCTGTGAAAATTTTAGGAACAGCTGCTAAGAAAATAGAAATGCTGGCTGCTCTAGATCATGCAGTCTAGACCACTTATAATACTTCATAATGTTCAGGATTAGGATGTATAAAAATATTAAAAACCACCAGAGTGCACACAAATGTGGTGACTAGCTCTAAGCAAGCACCGTGATCTAACAGAGGCCTAGGCATTGCACAAACTCAGGTTTTTGACCGCAGGGGTAACCCATGGATCCACTGGTGTCTTTACATATAAACAAATATTTACATAAAATGCAGAGACAGAGAGTAGCACAGACTTTTAAAACTTGTAGTTTGCTTGAAAATATGTTCAGCGACGCAGTTTGTATCATGCCCTAGCGAGACCATGGGGTTTTGGTTAGCTGAAGAAAAAAAAAAAAAAAAAGGAGCATGTCTGGAAGTTGGAGCTGAAAGATGCTCTTGTCATCTCCCCATGCATAGTTCTCTGAAGCTCAGGATCTTACAGCCATTTGTGAGCTTAAATGAAAAGACAGTAAAAGGAACAGAACAGTTGAAAACCAAAAAAAAAAGTATTTGTACTGTGAAAACAGCAGATCGGGTGTTTTGGCAGTCTTCATTCCCCCATCCCTACTTGCTTCCTGGGTGTTTCCAGGAGGTGATATCACCTCCTCCTTTCCCCTTAGGGGACTGAAGCGCTTGCCACATCCTCAGTGTGCCCATTTGGAAACAAAGGTGGGTTAGGTTCTGAGCTCTGTGCTCCTCCCACGACACAGAGGAAGGAGCCAGCCCCTGGTACGGGGACTGTCACATAGGGGCATACAAGCAGATACCTCTGCATGCCTAATTCTCAGAAGCTGAGGGCCTTCTCACTTCCTTCGTGTGCTTGACGGACACACGTCATTGAATACACATGGCTGAGACATGTGCTGCTTTGCACCTGGATAGCACAAGGAGCTAGAACATCCTACTTGGATTCTGATACAAATAAGGGATCTTGTGGTCACAAGAGCCTTCTTTAGCTTTAAAAATACAAAGTTTGAATTAAAAATATTCAGACAGTAAAAAAACCCAGTATCTGGTATGTAAGTTATATTCTTAAAGTGCAACTGAACAGCAAATACAAGTTGTGCCTTTTAAAACCATTTGATATAAAAAGGCCTTTTAAGGTTTCCTTTCATGTACTTTCAATTGACTGTGTGTGCGATGTTAGGTCTCCACTTTCATTCTGAGTGCTGGAGGACTTCAGCACAACTCAGAGAGTTCAGTTGTAGGATATGCATTTTTCCCCTGCAGTAGGGCATTACACCCTCAAGTGATAGACTCAGGCAGTGAAAAAATCTGGCCCACGTCCCCCAGCATGAAAAGGGATAGGTACTAACCTGGTATGTCTTCTTTATACAGCTCACATTCAGTGATCTTTTGTTAAAAGTTAAATATGGTCCATACTACAGAAGGGACTGAGGCTGATTCTCTGCGCAGGACAGTTTACTGGAAATTACTGAGGTTCTCTCTTTCTCCTCTCCTCTGCAGGTTCCACTGGCCCCTCATGCAGACTACGTAACCTATTACCACCACCAGTTTGACTCCACAGCTGGCCTCTGCCCTGGCAAATAGGGAGTACTCTGCTAACCGAATCCTCTAGCAGGCCAACACTCCTCAAGAATTTTGTCCAGTGAGGTTGGTATAGGGGTATGACTTTCTAACATGCATAGTTACTAAGTAGCACTGAAGCTGCCTACCTGCTTTGTTTCACAGCATGTGTTTAATTTGCAATGCCTTAAATGACAATGGTAAGGAGGGGAAAAGAGGAAACTCCTGAAGTATAAAAAACAAGTTTCCGTAGTTAGCAATCAGCCCTGCTCACAGACCTTGGACACCATCCTATGCATTCTTCCTCAGCATATGTTCATCCATCAGAGGTGACCTCAGGTTATAGACAGCTGGCCTCTTTGAAGGAGACAGAGAGTCAGCAGCAGTAAACCATGTTAACATTTACCCTGGGGCAAAGAATTAAAGGATGTTCAGCCCTGCTTGGGCATCTTGCACCAACAGTGTATGTTCAAGCTGAAAGAGCCACCATGCTGTATGAATATGCTTGGGAATGGAACACCTTTCCAAAGACACTGGAGAGCAGGCTTAGTATTTCCTTAACGTGAAAAGAAAATAGGCAACAACTCAAGGGGAAAAACAAAAACGAATTAAAAACAACTTCTTAACACATTACGTTAAGGATGGGACACAGACCCAACACACAGTGCTATTGCAGCTCTGTGCAACAAGTTAAGGATGTAGCATGCTCCTGAATCTGTCAAACAGTGGATGGTGCTGAATTGCTAAGTGCATGACCTGCACATTACTTAACACACAATTATAATGAGTACCCTCTTAGCTTAAAAGCAGCAGCTTCACCAGCTGAGCCAAAAGGAGCTTCTTCCAACAGGAAGTAGCAGGAAATGTGCTATTTTTGTTTTCATGAAAGTCCCTCTAGCTGTATCTCAGGAGTATGAAGGTCTCTCTTTCAGTGAGAAAGGGACATATGGGATATTTCTGCCTTACATTTTTGGCTTTCTCATTATAAAAATTTTAAATTTAAATAAATTATAGGTTTATTAGTCCAACTGAGGGATTTTTGGGACGCAGAAGAAAAGTATGCTAGGAACACAAAATAGATTCTTACAACTCCACAAGTGTGCAGGATTTTATCATAAAGGAAATCTTGCTAGGGCAGGATGCGTCCATGGGGTCCATAAAGACTGCCCTTGCTCTGAAAGAGGGACCAATCTGCAGTAGTGTCTTCCTCTAATAGAGTTAAAACACTCCCCCATCCCCCCTCGAATATGTGTAACATTATAAAAACACTAATAAATAGCCACAGGTAACAACGTCCAGTAATTTAGAAGTGGAAGTTGTAGGATGCAGCAGGCACACACACCTATCATTCATCCATATTTTTTTTTTTTCCTAAAAGATACAAAAATGAATTTTCTTTCAAGTATTAAAAAAATAAGTTAATCGACATAAAAGGGTCAAAGTGACTGAGGGCCCAGGCAGGTCTTAAGCTTCGTTTCCAATGTGCAAAAACAAAATATAGAGGAAAAAATAAAAACACTGAAAAGTCTTAATGGTGGTTTCAGTCACTTACGGGCTTCTCCCTTTTAGGAGCTGAACAGCCAGGGAATGCTGCTTGGTAACACCCCTGCCCCAGCGCACACTCAACACTGTCCCACAGTCAGTTTTTCCAGTGTCAAAACAGTCGCAATAAAAACAGAACAAAGAAGCCCATCAGCCTCTGAGCTGTGGCCAAGAAGATAAAGGCCAGCAGCAGCTGTCTCTCCAGTGTGTAGCAAAGCAGGGCATCTTCCGTCTCTTCTTCTCCCCTTTTTCCCCAACAATAAAGCCTTAGGAGACTGTGATAGGGAGTGAGTCTTCTGATGCCCAAATCTCTTTACAAACCGTGAGGCAGAGAGTTCCATCACGCATAACTAGTAGTGTCTTCTCTGTCTCATTTCTTCATATCCATGCATAATGACCAACTGTAAGTTTCTTTGGTGGGGAGGAAGACTAAAACAAAGAAGGTGCTGCCCTGGGCTTCTGGAGCTCTCCTGGATAGCTGATTCCATCAAACAGGTTGCTACAGGCTGCTGTGGTTTTCCAAAGAGGGTTGTTACTTCCCTCCCTTTTATTAGGACTGTTGTAGTAAAAATGGGAAAGGAACGGACTGCCATAAATCCAGATTAGTTAAGGTACTTCTTCCCTTAACCTCCTTCCCCACACATGGATTATCCCTCTCCCTGCTACCAAACAAAAAATAAAATGCAGTCAATTGTACTGAACTTCAAGGAGACTCCACAGGCTCCACTCGTTGTCTTCAACATGGCTTGCAGACATGTAAAACTTAAGCTTCTGGAGCCAACACACTTATCAAAAGGCTTCTGAGTGCTTCAAACCAAATCGCTGCATGCTGTCGGGCCCTTCGGAGATTTCCCCTTCAACATCTTCCTATCCATGTAATTCTGGCGAACTCAGGGTAAGCCAACTGGAGAACACAAACCAGCAGAGGTAAATGTATTGAGCTCAGGACCAGTTCAAGCTAAATCCTTTGGAAAGCATGACTGCCTCCAGGTCCTTGTCTTCCTCTTTTTCTCGAAGCCGTTGCTCCTCAAGGAGAGCCACGAGAGAATCTCTCTGCTCTACTACTTCTAGCATCTCATTCAGGATCCTCTTCTCCTCTGAGAGCTCCTCATCTGTCTTTAGATGATCTACAGAGATGTCAAAAACTGTTAGCACACTCAAGACTAGAAATATGCACATACAAACTACGAGGTCATATTTATTGCTCTCACCTTCCACTGCCATCCTCTCCCGGAGTTCCTGTTGTAATCGACTCTGCCTGTCTTCCAGTTCTAGCTCCCGTGCGCTGCAAGGAAAACACACCAGGAGTTCAAGTTCTGGATATATTCAAATACTCTGTACAATTGCTCCATATCCCTTCTCAATTTCTTCTCCCCCCTCTAGATATCTGCTATGCATTTTATCAATCTATTTTAGAACAACTTTAGAGATAACTGATGTATAGAACTAGATTTTTAAAGATTAAATCTGAAACTGTGTGAAACACTGGGAACAAGCAAAGCTGCAATCACTGTAAAATCATACCTTACCTCAACGTTATCTGCTATTTGCCACTCTAAGAACAAATTACTTAACAACTCAGGTCATGCCAGGGCATTGCCATTTCAGATTCCAATGCAGCCAACATCTTGGGGCTTTTCTGACAAACGCACCAAAAGACACCAAGCTTACAGACTGCTCAGGTCAGCTGCTGTGCTCAGAAACTAATTCCTATGAATTTGCACCACGGGGACTAAGAAAGCTCACGGATTTTTTACAGGAAAAAAATCTGTCACATGAGCCCAAATGAGAAGCACTGGAGTCCCACTGCAGGCAGAGAAGAGGGGCCATATGACAAAGGTAACAGAATTAAGCAGTTTGGCTACACTTAGAAGCCATTCATCATTTCTTCGTCACTCAGTAATGTGCTGTGTTTTATCCAAGAACAGCTTGGAAAGGACGCAGAACTGAACAAATATCCTTACTGCACACGTGCAAATAGTTCTTGTACTCTTCTGAAAGTTTGATCCCTATTTCAGCCAAGAATCAAACTGTATGACTGCTGATCTTCAGCATTGTAGGGAAAACGGTACTGACAGATCTTCCACCGCTGTTTATAAAATATTCCCTCTTTTGAAGTTTGCACATTGACTTACAAGATCATCAGTTCGGACTCATAGCGAACCAAGGCATTCTTCTCTTGCACCAGCTTGAACCATTCTTGCATCAGCTTGGGATCATCCTTCTTTCCCATGCCTGCAAAGAAGAAACTTGGTAAGACTGTGTGGCAAAATGCCACACAATCCTTACAAGCCCAAATGGCAAAAACAACAATGGGGCAAAATGTGCAAAGAAAGCCGAGCAAGATGCTGCCAGAGCACTCCCAAGCCGGGTCCATTCAGTTTGCCTAGAGCACACAAAAGAGTGGAAGTCATCTCCAAAAGGATTCTCTTGTCTTTGGAGTCTGATTTTTATTATTATTTTTTGCTTTCTGATTTTCTTGTGATTGCTTGTTTCTTCCTCACATTTACTGCAGAAAGCCCACACTTCTGTATTTCACTTTTCCTTTCATTAGAAGAGCTTTATAGTTCCTAATGCCAGCTACTTAAGTGTGTGCTCATCAGAAATAGATTCAATTGCCACTCTACGTCTTATTTTCTTCAACTGCACATCCTCAATCATTTATTTTACTGACAGAAAGTAACATCTCATCTTTTTTCAATAGCTAAATGAGTGTTTTTGACTGCTCCTCCTAGCCACATGCATCTATCCACCCTGACGATCCCCTGTGCGCAGTAAGCACAGAAACTACTTCTGCTGTATCGCACATCAGCACCAGAAGGAAAGAGAGAACCCCCAGAAACATTTGCTAATGTGAAAATGGAAGCAAAAAAATCTTGGGCCATGGTATTTCTTGGTTGGTATTTATTTTTTTTAAACCAATTCATAAATTGATGCAGGAGAACACTGATCAATCTCACATCTGTCAGAAGTTGCCTAGAATAAATTGCAGAATTCTGTTCCCAAAGCCTTTTGTAGATTTTTACCAAACACAAGAGCTTACCAGGAAAGCTCCTCCTGGCAGTCCCTTGTTTTGGGCCACTGAATTCACATTGAATTATCTGCAGATGAGTGCCTTGACTCTTACCCAACACCATCAAGAACCTTGGCAACTCACCTACCTGCACAGAAACGGAGGCAAGAGTAAGGTCTCAAAGTGAGCCCTACAGCACTTCCTGAGCCCTACAGCACTTCCTGACATGTATGGTTGGCATTCCAAAGTAACTAACAGCCCTAAGTTTGTTATCAAGGCTACATACTATCTACACCAAGAGCAAAACCTATTAACTAGTCATTTTGATTCCAAAAATAATCATGCAGCAAGTTTGCTATTTAAACTCTAGGAAAGACTACACGAATATCACGGTAGTGACTATTAATGGTCAGGTCTGTGACCTGACTTCAACTTTCTGATCTCAGAGAACTGCTGTGCTGGAGAGAAGTAAAAACAGGCCTACAATTCCATTGAACTGCAACTTAGTCTGAGAACATCTGCCTTTGAAAAATTGACAGAGCAAACCCTTGGGAAATACCAGACCCAGCTGCACAACCCTAACAGCCTCCAGTTCTCTGGGCTTGGTATCAGTGTGTTGCTCATTTCCAAGCATTCCTTTCTGAGCATCTCTGCACAATATGCCCATATGGCGGCAGGAGAGGGAGACGGAACATGCAGATGTCCAGTGCAGTGGCGCATGAAAGCACTGGGAAGTCTCCCTGTCCCTTCCAATGTCAGGATGTACAGAAAACAAATGCCTCTAAGAAAAAGCCAAAAACACAGCACTACTGACCTATGGAATATATTAAGTATTTTTAAACAGCCAATGAGAAGAGGAAGAATGGTAGGATTGGAGAGAGAGCACTGACAACTGATATGAGAGAGCACCATGGAAAGCAAAGTAAGTGGTTAGCAAAATTACACCATGAACACACAAACAGCACCCTTCCCCCATGCCTTGGCAATGGAAACTCTATGGCAAACTCCATTTGAGACAGTTAAAGAACTCACTCAGCAAGGCAGATGAGGGAAAACTAGTCTAACTTAAGGTTTGCTTAATTTTAAACTTCACGGATGTTTTGCAAACCAGTCCTTTAAAAAGACACAGTATTCCTTTAATCCATGTAAATTAATTAAAAGGCAATTTAAGGAAGCAAATTTTCTTCCCTTACCCCACCTTCCAAACACCTCTCAGGAGGAATGGAGAAATCAAAGCCACCAAATGCAAACAGAAACTTTTGAGCGTGATGTTACTGCTCCCACCACCGCTCCACCATGCCCGCCACAGCACAGCTGGGTCTAACAAAAGGGATACTGTACCTTTAGTAACTTGTCATAGGCCCACAAAGCTGATTACCAGGTTGCTACTGAGAAGGATGGTTTGGGGAAACAATAAGAAAAGGCTGGGGACCCTGTGGTCACTAGCTGACTAGTGCTGCTGTGACAACCCAGCTGTGGTCAAGGAGAACAGGGAGCATGTGAGGTTACGTTACCTTCGTGGGCACAGCAAGGGCAGAAGGAGAGAGGTCTACGACGTGGTGTCCCGCCATTGGGCTCAACTTCAATAGGACCAAACGAGGAAGAGGAAGAGGCAGGAGAGGAAAAGGAAGTTGGAAGTGGAACGGAAGAGAGGAAAGGGATGAAATAAAAGACAAGCAAAGGACAAAAAGCGTAAGAGTGAGAAAGAAAGGAAACACAAGAAGAAAAGAAAAAATACAAGAAATGGAGAAACAGAAACAAGGGAACAGTCTACAGATGAATAATGTCTCTAGCAAGCACAGATAACAGATAAGAGGTAGGCCGAGTATCAGTGAACTCTTACTGAGCTATACAATTCCTAGACAAGAGGTTATTGCTGACTTTTTCCTAACAAAAATTCCAATCACATGGTCTTTAACTGAAAAGTTTGTGAACAAGATGTCAGGAGGAGCAGAGATAAATATTTCACTCCTGCTGATAAATCTCAAATTTCAAGCAGGGTTACAAAAAGTCTCGCCTGCATGCATAAGACTCCAGCTGTAAACAGCCAGCCCACCTTATGGCTTTATCAGACCATGCTCTTATCACCGTGGCAGCATCCACTGATGGAAAAAGTATCCTTTTAAATGGAAAATAATTCCTTCAGGTAGGGAACATCACAGGAAGAATCTGATTCACGTGGAACCCATCTGCCAGGATCTGCCGTGTCAAGCATGGTGAGTACATGTACTGGGTTGGGTGCTTAGAGGAGAATCAGCTTTTTGTGGATAAAAGAATGATTCATGTCAGTTTCTGTGGTGGGAGTGATCACCTAAGGGCATTGCATAGATAAAATGGTGAATTTAAAGCTGTCCCTTGACATTCTCATTTCACAAAGCTTACAAGTCCTGTTAACATCAGCGACTTACTGAATATTTTCCATCGTCACAGTCACTCAATGAAGGACAAACATTTCTCATCTCTACAATGGTTCAGCTGCTTCAACACTTACAATCTCCTCTTCAGCTGTACTTAATGTTGCAGAGATAAATAGTAGAAAATAACTGGTACCACTTTAGTAGTTACAGGACAACAAATGCACTAAGGAGGTGATGAGCCTGAAATATCAAAGCCAGCAAACTAAAACACTTCTCAATGAAGAACCTCATTTACAAATGGGAGGCATTCCTATTTGGGAAAAGGAAGCTCCAGAACAATAATATGGTAAGAGTAACTTGTAAAGTTGAGAAGCCAGCAGTTTGATACATACGGTTTGGAGACAGCTTTACATAACTTTAGACTAGCAGCAATCTGGGAGAGCTTTAGAAGGGACCATCACAGAACTAGAACAGCACATGGAGGACGCACTGGAGTGAGAGGAAGAGCACATCAGCTTCAAAGCCTGTGTCTGAGCAGCAAGGCTTTCTCAGACAGGAAGAAACCTCTGCACTGGGGGCAGGAAGGGGCAACACTAGGAGAGGTTCCACAGTTGGCCACATGACAGTTACAGATAAAGCACCATACCAACATAAGTTGACAGTACCAGAACTTTAATTCTAGTTATTCAGTCTTCCAGCTTCTTCACTTAAAATGAAAAATGCTAGGGCTGCTTTTCCTGTGATTTGCATTTCACAGATTTAGGTTACAAAAGCAAAAACAAGTCCCCAAAACAATGAAACATACTGGCTGTCCTCTGTGAGGAAGCTTCCATAGAAAGTAGAGCATGTAGTGCGTTATGCCCATTACATTTTTTGTTTCACATCCTACCTTCATCCTACCAACATCACTCTTTCACCATATAAGCTCTTATACTCTAGTTGATGACCTACCAGTTCTTTTTGGGATCAGGAAATGGATATTTAACTATGTGGAAGAATCCACTTCAATTTCTCAGGGTTTGAGATTTCATTCAGAATTTTAGGGGGTAGGGTGATATTGCTGACTTATGCACAGTTTCTGAATTTCTAACTATGGAGTTACAGATTTGGTGAGGAATTCTGAATTTGCCATATTTGATCTTAAAATAAATACCTGGTATTGAAAATGCCATTCAGCTCATTGCAACAGTGGCCACAAACTATTAACTTTTGTCATCAGTAAGCAAAGTGTCACATCCTAGGAAGAGATACCACCTTTGGTCTGTAATGAAAAGCCATAGGTCTTACACAGCAGAAGACAATAGTGCAGACACCTCTCCACATCATGTTTTCTTCCTTTGGCCTTAGTTCTCCTATTTTTTAACAGAAATATAATCCTCTCCACTCCTGTCTAAGTATAATGTGCTCTTGAATGGAGTTACAAAGTCTATACTGTCTATACTCTTGCTACTGGAAATATTAATATTGCTCTTCATTAAGGTAATGAATATAACCTGCACTATTAAGATATTTTCCAATTATTCCCGTTGCAAATTATAGTTGCATTAGTGAACACAGGTGACACAATTGTTACAGTTGCTCTGGAAACAACTTCCATCAATCTATGATGATTAACAAGCCATGATGGTTAACAAGTCTTTGAAGTGCTCCCTATTTCCTGGAGGTCCTAAACAGCAAGGGCAGAGTGAAGTGCAGCCTGAAACTTACCTCTTCTTGCTCTCTAAAGCTGTGAAAACTGCACCAATTATTAAGCCCTAGAATATGGTATAATCCAAACTCACAAGTGTTGCAAAACATATAACGTAGTGGAATTTTAAGAGTACTTCTAGAATTTTCTCTAAGGTGACAATTATGAAAACTGCCTCCCCAAACCTGCTAACGTAAGTATCGGTGCAGGTGGTACAGATGCTGTAAGCAGACTGAAATGGGAACTTTCTGGTTTTAAGAGGAAAAATATTTTATTGTATTTCCTGAAAGGATAAAGATTTTTCAACAACAGTAACAAGTATTGAGGTGTGTTCCACGTCACATATTTCACTATCCTTTCAGATGAACTTTGTCAAGAAGAGGCCTCTTAAATGTTTCAGAAACAGAAAACTACAAAAAAGAAGATCACCTGATGAATGGAAAAGGTTTTACTGATGTACATTGATACATGTGTAGGTAGCAAATGTATCACCAGATCACTCACATTCCTGCCAGCTAAACAGCACAAGTTCTCACTGTGAACACACTCCCAAGAAGAGCCCGAGCACCTCACTGAGTACTATAAAAAGTCCGCACTGTCTCATCTTCCTTGCCTTTCTCACTCGTCTCACTCAGTAAATCCCTGTATGTCTGCTTACTTCCCCCAAAGCCATCAGTAAACCCACAGTAGACATCACAGCCTTCTCATTACTAATTAGCGAAATCACCAGCTCATGAGCTCATTAAATTAAAAACATGATCATCACTGCAAGACAACTTTTCTGATCACAGAGTCACAGACAGACGGAAAAAAAAACATCTTCTTTTCAAGCAAATTAAAAAACAACAATGAAAATAATGATTCTGTTCACATGTCCCCTACCACAAAAAAAAAAAAAAAAGAAAAAGAAATACAGGCTAGGTCAGACATCACAGGTCTTTATCCACAGCACTGTTAGCTATGTGCTGCCCCGCCAATGCCATTTGTTCCAGGCCTACTTCACTGTGAAACCTTCAAAGCAGAGATCAGCAGCCTCAAGAAACAAAGATGGCAAGCAGAGGAATTCAAAAGGGTGCACGGGAGGACAGCCACATCCCATCAGTGATTTGACTGGAATTATCTTGCCTCTGCAAACAGCACTCCCCAGATCTTTCGGAGTTCATACAGCCATGACAAGAAAGACCTTGTTTGCCATAGCACACTTGAGAGACTGCAGACTTGGCTGTCATAGAATCACTAAGGTTGGAAAAGACCTCCAAGAACATCCAGTCCAACCATGAATTGATGGAAGTCAGGAGCTAATCCAAGAATAAATGCCAGAGCTCCTAAGCCTCTCCACAAGAAGGAAGAGAAATTTTATAGCAACCATGAAGACATTCCTTCCTTTTCACTCTGTGTTGTTCTTTGTTGCATCCAGAAGGCTTCAACTTCTGTATGGCTATCTGTGAACAAACCAGGGCAGTTCGGAAATCAGCATATGGCAACACTGGGTAGGAAACCCAGCTCTGAGGCTAATTTCCATTCTTATACACTGCTATGCTAGCACTTGGCCTTATAAGCCAAGAGCATGATACTTTATAAATTCTTATTCTACTAACAACTCCCATGTGCCACTTAACAGCAGATGAAGAACTCTAAATTTTATCTCAATACTTATAACACAGATCAGTTAAACAGAGATCAGGCAAACTGTGGTAGTAACAGGAAATATATGCTTTCCCACCTTTAAGAAATTGTTCATGGTAAGAAACTGAAGTGCTGAGAAATAAAGCATTTAGTGAAATTGTTGTAAAAGAGCATGAACACAGAAAGCCACCTCTTGCAGAGCAACAGCCACACAATTATAGGCATTATAAAATTGAAGGAAAGGATTCTGACAACTATCCCATAAGTACATCGCTCGAGGTGTCTGACAGCAGTTTACTAAAACCATGTCGATAACAATGTGCTCTGAAATACAATCATTGAAAGAAAACAGGGCAAAACTCATGGACCACTGCATTGCCATGCAAACTGAATACTGTTTTTAACCAGCAGAAGAGAGTGGGGGAAAATAACTGAGGTGGGGAAGCTAAAGAAACCTGGAAAAGCAATAGCTGGAGCAAAACGTGCAAATGACTGCATAGAAGTCTTCTACATCCCACCAGACCTGAAGGCACTTCAAAATGCAATCAGAACTAGTGCAGTGTCTTTGTTTCTGTGTGCACCTGTGAGCGGTGTCCAGAAAGAAGCAGGTAAATGACAATTGTTTGCTTACAGTACCTAGCAAGTACTCTCATTACACCTAACAAGTTCTGCTTATCAGATGTCCTTTCCAGCAAAGAAAACACGTTACAGTTTTGCTTCAGTCTCAAAAGCAGTTGCACACTGAAAACATAATGTTATCTTACAACTCCAAACCTCTTGAAGGAGTAGGACTATTCCCACTTTTGTATCTCAGACTCTGGTCCTGCAATTAGAATTAGATCTGCAGGTCTTTGAAGAATGCAGTGAGCCCAGTATTTTAAATAAGCTAATAAAAAGTGAATTCTGGGAC